ACTTTTAATCCAGGTTACAATAATCCACACTTTTAATCCAGGTTACACTCTTCCCTCATGGACACATTTGACAAAGTAGCTACATATTGTGCAGGTATAAAGATACATTTGTATATATTTTTGTGTACATTTATTTTTTTAAGCTAATTGACTAACTTTTATTTTTTATTATTCAATATTTTACTAACAGAATAGTCAAATAGCAACCTGTTTTTTGTGTGAATTGCTGTCAGTCAAATGTTAAATTTTGGAATAAAGGGGTGGTAATTAAAACGTTGTGGGGTTTTTTGCCGATTCATCGATTAATCGAAAAAATAATCGGCCGATGAATCGATTATTGAAATAATCGTTAGTTGCAGCCCTAGTCTCATGGCCTCAGACAATGGACTTGTGTCTCTACTGGTCCTGTTAGACCTCAGTGCTGCATTTGATACAGTTGATCACAATATTTTACTACAGAGGCTTGAATATGATGTTGGGATTACAGGAACGGCTCTAAAATGGTTTAAATCTTATCTATCTGATAGATTCCAGTTTGTAAATGTAAATAATAAATCTTCTTCATACACCAAAGTTAGTCATGGAGTTCCTCAGGGCTCAGTGCTTGTACCAATACTCTTTACTTTATATACGCTTCCATTAGGTAAAGTTATTAAACAGCGTGGGATAAATTTCCATTGTTATGCTGATGACACACAATTATATTTGTCCATTAAACCCAATGAATCCAATCAGCTACTTAGACTACAAGCATGTCTTAAAGACATAAAAACCTGGATGAACCTTAATTTTCTGCGTTTGAACAAAGACAAGACTGAGGTTTTGGTTTTTGGACCTGAGCACCTTAGGAATACATTTTTAGCCTTTCACCCTCTGGATGGCATCAATCTGTCCTCCAGCTGTAAAGTTAAAAACTTGGTTGGTTCTCTTTACACTTCACTTCATATATGAAAGTGTAGGTGTTTAAAATGTTTTATTTTAATGTTCTGTTGGAATCTGAGGCAGCACCTTCAACATTTATTTTTATTTTTGGTAACTCTTTGTGACGCTCAGTGATGGATTCTCTCGATGCAGGAACTGACCTTCAGACTTTGTTGCAACTCAGACCCATTTAAAGTTACACAAACCGCATTTCTGTGGTGACCAGTTTTCAGAGTTTAAAAAGTGGGTCTACTCCTTTTCCTTCAGCTGGTGCACGACCTGGAGATGGGTGAAATTCAAAGTTTGCATCTGAAGGAGGAGTTTCTTTAAAGAGACTAGGGAGCAGCGTTCCGACCGATGGTCACATCAGCTGACTGAAGACATTTATAAAGGTCCAAACTGTCCTCCCAGTGTTTCTGCATGTCAGCGTGGACAGAGACGAGACAAAGAAAGCTGCTTCCAGACAGAGGACAGAAACAAAGTCAAAGGTCTTTGGACCTACAGAGACTAAAATCAGTGATTTGTCTGAAAACTGTCAGCTGACAGCAGGAAGGTAAAATGTTAAAAACACATTAAACTAACAAGAAAATGAATATTTGAGCAGAAACTGAACTCTCACTCATGAAGCTCCTCCTCATAAATACAGTTTGTTTGTTTGTTGCACACACTGGATTTTTATTGTTGGTTTGTCCCCGTCAGGAAGCACAAAGGAGACGATGGAAACGCCCCCGTTCACCCGTCAGTCTTGTGAGTTTTATAATTAAAAAATAAGTGAGGTACCAACTTCCATTTTGGATTTGTGGCTGAATCTAGGTGGTTCCTTTAAAAATGATGTTATTTTGTCAAAACTCAAGATGGCCACCAGCATCAAATGATGTAAACAAGCCGTTCCAATCATTTAAGGAAACTGTGTTGAGTTTTTATATTGCTTAAAAGGATTCTTACATCCAATGGTTGGGGTGGTGGGAAGATTAATGTATGGGGCCAAGGCCACCATTGGCCACCCCCAGCTCTGCCCCTGGTGGTGATAAAATGTCTCCCTGCTCTCCAGGGTCCTGCGTCGCCTCAGATAAGAAAATCAAAGTCCCTCTGTTCTCCACAGCTCCTCCACCTGAACATCAGGCAGCAAAAACATTTTGCTTTATTTTCATCCTCTGCTCAGACTAAAAACTACAAACGGTCAGAGAAGAGGACACCAGAGTATGATGTCCACCGTGACATGATAAAAATGAGTTTTCTTTCCCCCTGTGTAAAA